GTGAGGTGGTATCTCACTGTGGTTTTGATCTGCATTTCCCTGTTAATGAGTGATGTTGAACATCTTTTCATGTGTCTGTTAGTTATCTTGATGTCTTTGGAAAAATGTCTGTTGATGTCTTCTGCCAATTTCTTAACTGGATTATTTGGGAAGTTTTTGGGGTGTTGAGTTTGATAAGATCTTTCTGACTTTTGGATACTAACCCTTTATCAGATATGTCATTTGCAAATATCTCTTCCCATTCTGTAGGCTGCCTTTTAGTTTTGTTGGTTGTTTTCCTTCATTGTGCAAAAGCCTTTTATCTTGATGAAGCTCCAAGAGTTCATTTTTGCTTTTGTTTCCCTTGCCTCTGGCAATGTGTCTAGTAAGAAGTTGCTATAGCTAAGGTCAAAGAGGTTGCTGCCTGTGTTCTCTTCTAGGATTTTGATGGATTCCGGTCTCACATTTAAGTCTTTCATCCATTTTGAATTTATTTTTGTGTATAGTGTAAAAAAATGGCCCAGTTTCACTTTTCTACATGTGGCAATCCAGTTTTCCCAACACCATTTGTTGAAGAAACTGTTTTTTCTTCCATTGCCTATTCTTTCATACTTTGTCAAAAATTCGTAGTCCATACAATTGTGGGTCAATTTCTGGGTTTTCTATTCTGTTCTATTGACCTATGTGTCTGTTTTTGTGCCAGTATCATACTGTTTTGATGACTACACCTTTGTACTATAGCTTGAAGTCTGGAATTGTGATGCCTCCCACTTTGCTTTTCTTTTTCAGGATTGCTTTGACTATTCAGGGTCTTTTGTGGTTCCATACAAGTTTGAGGTTGGTTTGTCCTAGCTCTGTGAAAAATGCTGGTGGTATTTTGATAAGGATTGCATTAAATGTGTAGATTGTTTTAGGTGGTATGGACGTTTTAACAGTGTTTGTTATTCCTATCCATGAGCATGGAATTTTTTTTCCCATTTCTTTATATCCTCTTCAATTTCTTTCATAAGTGTTCTATAGTTTTCAGCATATGGATCTTTTACTACTTTGGCTAGGTTTTTTCCTAGGTATCTTATTGTTATTGGTACAATTGTAAATGGGATCAATTCCTTGATTTCTTTTTCTACTGCTTCATTATTGGTATGTAGAAATGCAACAGATTTCTGCACAACGATTTTATATCCTGGGACTTTGCTGAATTCATGTATTAGTTCTAGCAATTTTTTTGGTGGAGACTTTGGGTTTTCTAGAGTATCATATCATCTGCAAATAGTGAAAGTTTGACTTCTTCCTTACCTATTTTGAAGCCTTTTATTTCTTTTTGTTGTCTGATTGCTGTGACTAAGACTTCTAGTACTATGTTAGAGAGTAATGGTGAGAGTGGATATCCCTGTCTTGTTCCTGACCATAGAGGACAAGCTCTCAGTTTTTCTCCATTGAGGATGATATTAGCTGTTGGTCTTTCATATGTGGCTATTATGATGTTGAAGTATGTTCCATCTCCACCTACTTTGTTGAGGGTTACTAGGAGCATCTCTTACTTTAATATTTAGTCTTTAGTCCTCTGACATAGGATTGCTAAAACCCTTGTGAGTTCCTAAGTGGGTAAGAGCACTAGTAGCATCTTTTATTCTATTTTTTTAAAGATTTTATTTATTTATTTATTTATCTGACACACAGAGATCACAAGCAGGCAGAGAGGCGGGCAGAAAGAGAGGAGGAAGCAGGCTCTCCGCCAAGCAGAGAGCCCGATGTGGGGCTCGATCCCAGGACCCTGGGATCATGACCTGAATCAAAGGCAGAGGTTTTAACCCATTGAGCCACCCAGGCACCCCTCTTTTGTTCTATTGATGTGATTCTGAGTAGACCCCTGGATGGCTCCTGGATAGGGGCTGGTGATCAGAAAGACCAAGCCATGATTAGAAGCTTGGCATTTTCAGTCTCCCACCACTTCTCCAGGGAAGGAAGAAGGGCTGGAAATAGAGTTAATAATTGAATATGCCTACATGAGAAAACCTCCATAAAAATCCCAATAGCATGGGGGGTTTTAGTAGTTTTCAGGATGGAGAACGAACGCATCCACACTGGGAATATGATGCACCCTAACTCCGTGGGGATGGAAGGTCCTGTGCTTGGGACACAGGTGAAAATCTGGGTAGGTTTTTCTATATGGGGGAAATCATTTTGAGAGCAGCAACCTGATAAGATCACACAGACTAGTGTGTGAAAAATGCTAATTGGATGGAAATGATGTGTTTGTGTATATGCGTGCACAGGCACGTGTTTATGTGCACATGTGTGCATGTCTGTATTTGTATTCCCAAAGGCCTGGAAACCACTCAGTAGCATGTTTCTAGATTCATCTGACCCATGGATTTGAAAAGGACACTATGTCTACCTTCTGAAATGCTCCTAGGTATTCTTTCACCACCCTAAGCAGCTCCCAAAAGGCTATACAACCTGACTTGCTACCTATACTTTTATCACCACTCAACCAAGGATAAATGGTGTTTTTTAGTTCTGAACAAAGCTTTCCTGTGGCAAACAAATACTCCTTGGTTCATTCCAAGGGCATTGAAAAGCCAAAGGTTAAAAAGAGAAACAAATGGCAGACCAGAGAAATGTTTTGGAAAGATTTTTCTGAGGACAGGAATCTCTGAGGCAAATCAGTCTTGGGGGCCACAAGATATTTATTCAAAGGAATGTAGGAGAACAAAAAGAAATTTCAGCCCCAAATACTGGATTTTCTCAATGCTTAGCCTAATTTCCATATTCATATATATTTGCCTGTTGTTTTTCCAGTGGCTGTAATCTCTGACCACTGTAATTATGAAAAATACATATTCAGTTCTTTTGCATGTTTATTTGTTTTGTTTTTGAGAAAGAGAGAAATAGATTGTCACTGTTTTGTTCTATTAAATTCTGTACAGTTTTGCTGGAAATATGTAGGTAGTAGATATGAAATATTTTCATTCCTATTTTCTTTTGGAGATTTAGTGTTTATGCAATCTCTTGACATGAAAACAAAATGAAATGAAAGCCATTCAAATACAGTATCAAGGTTACAAATGAGACCTGTCTGTCCATTCCTGTGGACTTCTTTTTTTTTTTTAATAATTTTTTTTTAAAGATTTTATTCATTTATTTGTCAGAGAGTGAGAGAGAGAGAGGGAGAGATCACAAGCAGGCAGAGAAGCAGGCAGAGACAGAGGGAGAAGCAGGCTCCCTGCCGAGCAAGGAGCCCGATATGGGACTCGATCCCAGGACGCTGGGATCATGACCTGAGCCGAAGGCAGCCGCTTAACCAACTGAGCCACCCAGGCGTCCCCCTGTGGACTTCTTAATAGCCTTGTAATCAGCTCTAATCAGAATGTACTCTCCCTTGGGGAGATTTAAGGCCAACTGACATCACCGGCTCCCCTAGGAACTAGCACTTTTAATGGGAAAAGTGCAGCACCGTGTCTATAGCAGCACTTAGTGGGCCCTCTTTAGTGGAGGTGAGAGCGAACTGCCCCAGAGATGCTGATGTTCAAAAGTATTTATTCTCCATTGCCTTCAGGATCAAGTACAAAGGCCTAAATCTATCCTCTATGACCCTGTCTGATGAGGCTTCTGCCCATCTCTCCAACCTTTTTCCTTGGCTTCCTAAACTCTACCTGTCTCTGTTCTTATTCCACAGAGTAGTCAAGGTGGTCTTTTTAAGCCATTAAGACCCTCCAGAGAATTTGTGTTTCACTGAGAATAAAATCCGGACTCCACAGCTAGGGATATTTCAAGTGTCCCCACAGTCTCTCCCTGATCTGGCCCTTGCATACCTCACCAGGCTTATTTCCTACCATCTCCCCCTTTTACTACATCTCAGTCACAATCCTTTCCTTTCTGTTCCTCAAACACAGCTCTTTCTCACTTGGTGGGCTTTGCAACTGCTGTTCCTCATCCAGGGACACTTGTCCAGGATTTCCTTACCATCCTCTGAGTCTTAGCTGGCCCCCTGAGCAGCCAGCCCACCGAATCTTCCCTAGTCACTTGCTACTACAGCATTGTTTTTCATTCCATTCTCTGTTGTGATGATATTTTTTTTTGTCTATCCCTGGAATTTGAGCACCATGAGGGCATCGAGTATTTCTTTCTGGGTCAAGAGGTTATTCCTGGTGTTGAGATTGGTGGGCCTGACACAAAATAAGTGTCAATATAAATCAGTAAGTGAGTAAATGAATGTATGACCCCAAGGTTCTCAGATTTGAGTGAGTGTCAGAATCACCAGAGGCTTGCCAAAACACAGATTGCTGGCCTGACCCTCAGAATTCCTGAGATGGCAGGACTGGGGTGAGACCCCCAAATTTGCATTTCTTCTAGGTTACCCCTACGCATGGTAACTGTGCTTTCCCAGACCATGAGTCCTCTAGGGTGTGCTTCCATGGTCTGTCTACATTTAGCTGGAAGCTCAGGAATGTGACCTGAACTCCATGAGAGCATAAGATGCCTCTGACAGAGCATGAGATGCCTCTGTGTAGCCCTAGACTTCAGCTCATGCACAGGCCTCATTACTTACAGAATGCTTTGCCCCAGGCTTTCCTCCTCTTGCTTTTTCTCTTACCAGACTCAACCTTTAATAAAAGTGGCTTTTCTCTGCTTTGTCTCCAGTGTTTAATTTCTCCAGCTTGTGCACAAACCTAAACTGTGCCATTTATTTGGTTGGCATTAATATACTGTAATAACCTGTGGAAAGAGCCCAGGTCACTTTCTTGAGGCAGAACAATAAATGCTAAAATTGGTTCTAGGGTAGAAAAAAAAAGATTTCTTAATGACTTCTCAAATTGCAATTTTATCTTCTTAAATACAGCTCTTTGAAGTCACCCTCATTTTTCCTAGTAATTTTGAGAAACTCAGTACTGCTTCCATGCTTATTACAAAGTCAATAATAGGACATGAGTTGAGCTCCCTGGAGGCCCACCTGCAAGAACATCTCAGGCTCAGGATGTCCCTGTCTAAAGCACATTCACAATTTGGGAGAAACTCACCTTGCTGTGGTGTTGGAGCTGCACCCAGCCTCCATAGCCAAATCTCTGTGGGGGAGAAGCACAGTTAGACTAGAAGAACAAAACAGGAAGGACTGCAATAAAGGAGCATTTCTGGGGCAAAAAATCCTGAGTTCCATCCTACCAGGCATCACTTTCCCTTTTTCTCCCTGCACACCCATGTATCACATACTTTGTTGATAGTTAAATCAATTTACTTTTTTCCCTCAAATATATTTACTCCAGAGGAAAATTCTGTCATAGAAGTGCTCATTTTACCTAGGTTGCAATTTTTTTTAAAGTTGGGTTTGTTGAGGTATAATTTACATATGGTAAAATTAGATCTTTGTAAGTGTATGTTCTATGCAATCCCACATTGCAATCAAAATGAAAATAGAGTCTTTCGGAGCACTGGGTGTGGTGCAAAAACAATGAATACTTTTACGCTGAGAATAAATAAAAAAAAAATTAAAAAAAAGAAAATAGAGTCTTTCATCACCCTGAAATATAATATCATGCTCCTTTATAGTCAACACGACTCATTCTTGTCCTCAGCCTCTTACAGCCACTGGTTTGATTTCTCAATTTGTAAGTTTGACTTTTCCAAAATGTTGTTTAAGTTAAACCATACATTATACATCCTTTATGAGCGGATTTGTTTTCATTTAATAATATAGTTGAGATCCATCCATGTTGTTGAATGTGCCAGTAGTTCAGTCCTTTTTTAGTGATGAGTAGTATCCCATTCTAGGGACACTTGGTAGACATTTTGTTTTTCTACTTATCTGCTATTATGAATAAGTTGCTATAAACATTTGAAGACAGTTCTTTGTGTGGAAATATGTTTTAACTTTTCTTAGGTAAATATCCAGGAGCGGAATTGCTTCATGAGAAACTGCCCCTTAGAAACTGTGGCTAAAATGGCTGTAGCAGTCTGCATGCCCAGCAACAAAGTATGAGAATTCCAGTTGCTCCACACCCTCACCTGCATGTGGTATTGTCAGTTTTCTTAATAAAGCCACTTCAGTAGGTGTGTAGTGTTATACCATTGTGGTCTTATTTGTATTTCTCTAATAACTAGAACAGCTTTTCAAATACTCATTTGCCATATTTTCTTTGGTGAAATATCTGTGAACATTTTTGTCTAGTATTTTTTTTCTTAACTGGGTTATTTGTCTTCTTATTACTGAGTTTTGAGAGTTGTTTATGTGTTCTGCACCAGATATCAGACACTAGTTTGCAATTTTTAAATGAGGATGACATTAAAAAATAGTTGTTCTTGAACCATCTAAAATCATTTCACAGACCACCAGAAGTATGTGGACTGTAAAGTTTACTTTTTAGGAAATACCATCTTTGAATGCTAACACTGCTCTTCAAACCATGAGTTGCCCATTAGTAGGTCATGAAATCAGTTTAGTGGATGGTGACCCAGACATCCTAAAAGCCAAAATAATTTATGTAATGAATGCTGCCAGCTTTCTACCTATCTTCCCTCTCCTTAACACTCCTGTACACACCAGCCCTCCTACACCTGCCAGCCCCCGTGTTTCTTTGACAAGGACTTCCCTATTCCTACTGAAGCCAGATTTGATGCAGTCCTTCTAGAAGGTCAGAAATCTCAGGAAATTAATGTCCCCATTCCTGGCCCGCTGTCTCCAAATCCCTCAACCAGTGACTGAGGATGCCTGTATTTATATACACTGAATACCTTGGTTTCCCCACCACTTGGGCATGGTGAGTCTGAGATGAGGCACACATTCTACACTTTCATTGGCTGACTTGATTTCCCTGTCTCATTTCTCTTCTCTCCTGGTATTTCTGAGATCACCTCCAAAGTAAACTACTTGCATTTGAATCTTTGTTTCAGGGTCTGCTTCTTGGAAAACCCATGTTAAAATAGAAATGAAATGGAATGGAATGAAGCAGAATGGAAGAGAATAGAACAGAACAGAATAGAATAGAATAATATATTAGAATGTTTCCCATGTGTTATTAGTTTCATTAGACTTTTCCATTATACATATGAATGAACTGAGTCACAATATAAAATATATTTCTTCTTGAGATCATGAATAAAAAGTTTTCAAAGTCTGCCTGAGAACATAGGTATATATGACTCACATAATTAGAGGTTTTCAAACCTCATTTTGTTCATTCATTCTTCAAGCTCTCAGAGAATCCCACCCCTGACCAGCCTTACTAGGGCAGAGAAAATGAAGGACACTTCCAGTCTTGAACATGTGGGGTGGGCTGGCAAGTATTGAAGAGTAATGGTGTGTGAGATGTGCTGTGGCAGAGTAACACACAAGCTCTCTGGGAACCTGTAGGAGGGTATTGGCCACCAACTTGAGTTGGGTGATATCTATGGAGGGAGATTGAAAAGATAGTCTGGGGTCAGAACTTCCAATGTTCAGCATTTCCTGGCTTCAGAACAGTGACTCCCACCGTGTGATGGAAGAAGGGAAGATGGGGGGGGGGGGGGGGCAGAAACAGTGATGTGAAGAGCTTATCAACAGCAATTGTCAGTAGTATTGGGTAGAGAAACTGAATATCAGCTCAACTTCTTGCTTCTTATAGTTGGATGAAATAAGCTAACAGTGATTTGTTTTCATGTCATGTTATAGGGAAGTTGTCTTGAGGGAGTCAGTCCTTGGCAGGTTTCTTTTCCTAGCTACCCTCTCACCTCCAGACTGAGAGGGGAGGTCTGGGCCTGCAGCACAGGGCTGTTTGTATGTCTCTGTGTCTGTGACTGGGGCCACACCAAGAGAGATTTAAGATTTTGTAAATTCTGTACCAGCTTTGTTCTACCTTGACATAAGGTCTGTTCTTGAGTTCTACTTCCAAATAATCATATTAGCTCTGAAAAATCAACCTGCCCTCTTCCTAAATTACATCCTAGGACCTGGAGTAGTAGCCTGGGCATGCAAAGGAAACTGTCCATCAGGGGCCTGGATTCTCTTCTTTGTACCAAGTCTCTCTTTTGTATCCCACCACCCCACTCTTCTCCTTTCATGCATTTAATACCCTCATGCTCTCCACCTCCATCTTCTCCTGGATAAAGCTGATGAGAGATTTACATTGGTGGAGGAGGTGGCATATGGCCTCTACCAGTTACATTTTAAAGTCAATAAACTTTCTCTTGAATTGGAAAATTGTCACTGAAATTTTACTTTACTGTAGAAGAAAAAGTTTTGTTTCCTTGTTTCCTTCTCTATTCTTTCTTTCCTCTCTGTCTTTCTTACTTATTCTTAATTTGCTAAGGAACTTTAACCCATAAGTTAGCAGGTTAAAGATGTAGTCTCTTGGAGGAAGGGCAGAGAGGCAGGGGGGAGGCAGAACAAAGGGATCTTGTCACATATGACCAACCACTTACAAGATTCTGAATTTTGTTGGAGTAACTTAGCATCTCAAAGTCACTCTTTCCTTATGTGTAAAGTGAGGCTATATTTTGTGCTCCATATTTAGCTGTAACATAGCATTTTGTAGGAATTTAATTGAGATAAAATTCATAGAGAGCTACTGATGCCAGACCTGGCTTATAGAAAGGGCCTCACCAATGCTAACAATGATTATGATGATGCTGACAGTGGCATTGGTAATGGTGGAGGTAGTGGGGGTGATAGTGATGGTTGTGGTATTTGTAGGGATGGCAGTGGTGGTGGCAATGGTAGAGGTTGTGAGGTGGTAGCGGTAATGTTAGTAAGCTTGGTGGTGGTGGTGGCGGCAGCCAGGGTTGCATTAAATGTAGCATAGTGGTGGCAACCTATTTTATCCTTAGGTGGTAGAAGAAGGCATACCCTAGCTCCAGACATTAAAGAGTGCTCTGAAAGAAGGAGCTTTTGTCACCCTGTGTTCCTCCTTCCTTTTTCTTGGAAAGCACAAAATTTGACCACTTTGTGTTTCTTCTAACCCCCCTGGAAAGGCCTAACCTATTTAGGGCAACTGCTGCAAGTCTGGGTTCTACATAGTTCTGCAGCTGTCATCCTAGGTTGAATCAAGCCTGGGGTCTGAAATTTATGACCTTGAAAATAGTTTTGGTGAGAGCATATGCCAAGAGGCATTTACAGTCTGAAAATATTTGACTGACAATGACCATAGGTATTTAAGGTCATGACAATAAAAAACTAAAACATTCAAGGGAATTCAGTTCTACATACAAGAGATATGTTTCTGAAATAGATTTATATCAATTAGAGATAGATGAACTGAATGGCATTTTTAATGTCTTGGGGACATCACACTTCATGAGGTGAATAAGGAACTTCCTGTTTGATGAAACCAGATATCTATTTCCTCAGAGGGGTTGCTTAAAAGTCAGATTATGCCTGGAATTTTGTCTCCTAAAATCTGACAGTGATCAAGTACAATTAAATCATTGCTAATGAAAAAATATGTAAATATATATTTATTAATGGCCAGAATTTTTCAAATCCATTTAAAACTGGAAAAATCTTTGCAAATCTTACTATTGGGGATATAGTAGGCAGTCTGTAAATTCTTACTGAAGGAAAGAGCCAAGACCTTATTATCATCATTGTTGTTATGAATAATCTCATCATGGATCAACCTGAAACAATGTTCACCATGGTTTCTTGGGCCACCATCCTCCTCTTTCTGATAGCAGAGAGTAGGGGTCCTGATGCATCAGAAACACAATTTGAGCAAGTGCTCCCTGCGTCTGCTCTTTACACCTGAGATAGATTTTCCCCCTAAGGATCTTAACTGTAAGTCTGAGTAAAATCGTTATTAGCAAGTGAAAATGAAAAGATTTCTCAGATCCCAGTTGTTAATAATCATTAGTTAAATATCAACCCAGGCATTTTGATTCTACTTATCTATTTCTTCACTGCATTAGGAGGTCAAGGTTATTGAGGTGTGTTCATTAATGTTTAATAAGGAAAGGCAGGTTGGAAAACATGTTAGTTCTTCCAATGGGGCTTCATCTTCTGAAACAAAACTGGCTTCTCCTTCTCATTCTTTTATTGGAAAGTTTGGAAAAATGATGAGAAAAGATCAGATTGATGTTTTGAAATAATATTTTATCCCTTGAGAAACAATTTGAAGATAAAGGAAAATCTGTTGTAATTACTGAACTATATGAACACCAAGGACTCAGGTCACTTTAATGCTTACATTACTCTGGCTATATGGACTGGTAATGGGGTGCGAGGAAGAAGAATCCCATGTTTATCTCACTCCCAGTTTGAAAACAAACTGTTTTTCAGTTGTTGTTTTTTTTTTTCATCACCGGTTTGCTTGCAATCAAATGAAGATTTTACCACATAACAAATCCACTTACTTGACCTGTGGGTTGAAGTCAGGTTCCAGTGACCCTGTGATGAGGCTCTCAGTGGGTTTACATGAATGTGGGGAGTTGGGGAACAGGCTGGTGTGGAGGGAGACAGTGGGGGACAGAGGGAAGCAGAGACATCCCTCATAGCAGTGATAGGCTCCTGCGCAAGCTCTATCAAGGTGGTTGCAGTGGTAATGCTGTAGAGGGGCCACTGAGGTCCCACATAGCTCTGGGATTAGAGGCTCCTTTCTGTGTCTTGGGCACTCATTGGTCCAGCAAGGTTAATAATATAAATCCTATCTGCAATTTACATGATTTTTATGTGAATCTAATATATATGTATCTTGCTCCCTGGCAGTTAAGAGTATAATGGTTATTATTACTATCATTATATCATCAATATTATTAAGCTTATCAGTCATCTGCAGCAAATGAGACTACTAGATAGAACCCTGGTTTATTGGGACGTAAACTGAATGCCCCTCCCCTCCTTTTAGGCGACAGCTAGAGGTTAAGAAGGAGAAGGGAGGGGGGTGCCTAGATGGCTCATTCACTTAAGTGTCTGATTCTTGGTTTCAGCTCAGGTCGTGATCTCAGAGTTGTGAGATCAAGCCCCTCATCAGGCTCCACACTCAGTGTGGAATCTGCTTGAGACTCTCTCTCATCTCCTGCTGCCCCTCCCCTGCCTCAAATAAATAAGTAAATCTCAAAAAAAAAAAAAAAAAAAAAAGGAGAAGGGGCAAAAAGAGCCAGCAGAGCATGTGGTTGGGAAGTCTCCAGGGCACGTATTTATGGTTATAGCCTCCCTAATCTCTGCATCTTTCGGTTTCCTAACCAGTTTCAACAATGCCTGCAGGGCCCTGCATTGGGTGGGGGCACCTAGAAATTGTCAGCTCTTGGTGACAACTTCTCTGCTCGAACTGGAGGCAAGCTTCTGGGTGGGAGGCAGACGAAGGGAGGTGGATTTGTGACACTAGGTAGATAGTAGGTAGAAAGTTTTCTCCCTTTAGCAAAGAGGAGGCACATTTTTAGGCTGCTCTGGGTCTTTATCACTAACCTTGTAAGGTGGGGTTTACACTTTAATAAAACTTGATGAGTACAATAACATTTAGAGCAGCAATGTCCCATGTAGGCCCTTAGACGACGTGCTACAACAGAAAACACTTTTAAGATGGTTCAGCATCATATGTATTTTTCAAACTACAATGTCTACTATTCATTCACCTTACCTAAAGTACCAATGGAGAAAGAAACAAGATTAACATTCTTCTAGGAGACATTTATGAAAAGAAAACAGTTTCACTTACTTGCATAATAAACTGTATTTTAATTAGAGTTTGTGTTAATTCATTTTTCCTCACTTGGGATAAAAAAGATGAAACATTATTAGTGGCATGAAAATACTAGAGAGAAGATTGGGTAAAACCTGATACTTAGCCTGAATAAAGCTCAAACCAGTTATAAATTTCTTCATGTTCCTCACCTCCTTCTTTTAGTATTCATTCAAAAGTTCTTAATGACAAAAGGAAATTTCCCTCTTTTGAGAAACAGAGAAAGAGACACTCATTGTACAAAGGCTTCATGTCATTTTCTCTAGGGTTTTTTGATGTTCCTACTCTCTAGTTCATAACAAGGATTTACAGCTTAAAGAACATCAAAAGGAAAGGTTTCAGACAGTGTCCTAAAATAGACTTTAAAAAAATTCCACAAAGCTATCTCTTAGTGCTTCTAAAACTTATTTTAAACATTTTGGAAAGGAGATGTGTTTTATAAGTCTTGGAAGCCTATCATATTCCATTTTTTAATAGTCTTTTACTTGAAACTATAACTTTAAATTCTGTAGTTGGCACGTATCTTCCCAGCAGCTGAATATGTGATTTAAATGGAAGTAAAACTGCCTGACTTAAATTGTCCAGAAATTTTAAAGAATGCTTCATTTGAGGAGAAAAGGGGATTTTGAGAAGGCACTTACTTCTTTGATCAATGTTCTTTGAAAATAAATATAAAGCTAATTTTTAAAAAACTGGGAAATCAGAGCTACCAAATAATTTTAAATCACCCCTAGGGCAGAGAAACTTAACATCTAATTCCCCAAAGAATAAACAGATCTGTAGTAGAAGCAATGAGAAACCCTGGAGAAGATCCAGAAATAATTCAGCAGATTAATCACCATTACCTTTTTTAGATCTGGCCATTCTTTTGGTAGAATATGACTATGGATGTCAATTTTCATCTCCACAGGATCAGAGAAGCATGCAAAGAAAGAAGTTTTGATATCAAGCGATCTCCATAAAAACCATGGAGTTAATTGATTTACAGAGTCTCTTTACAGCTACTTTCTGGCACCAGTCAGTAAGCTTATTCGGCTCAATCCAAGTCCACTGGACGTGCCTTATTAAAGTTCAGAATTCTGTTTATTTGTCAACTTGGCTTTGTATCAACAACTCTTTGGTAATCGGGACTCTGGGCACTAAATTAAAAAAATAAAATAAAAGACTGTACTAAACCTCATGAGGTCAGATGTACTACTGGGTGCTTTTGAGTTACAGCAGGTCCAAAATTGGTTAATCTTTGCTTTTAAATATTTCTTTTTTTTTTTCAAGATATACATAGGAAAAATCTGGAGTGCTTGGGTGGTGTGGTTGGGTGATTGTTCAACTTTTGGATTTTGCTTAGGTAGTGATCTCATGGTCATGGGACTGAGCCCTGCATGGGGCTCTGCACTCAGCATGTTTGAAATTCTCTCTCCCTTTTCCTCTGCTCCTCCTGCTCATGCACACATACACACACTCTCTCTCTCTCTCAAATAAATAAATCTTTTTAAAAAAAGATACAGTAAAAAATCAAGTAGAACATGGTTAAAAATCAAATAGTACAAAGTGTTGTTAAAGAACAGTAATCACTGACTCACCTTATCATTACTTCCCCAGAAGGAACCAATTTTAATTTTGCTTTTCATTCAGTTATTTACCTTGATGTCTTTAAACAATATTGATCAATTGGCTTGTTCATGAAAATTTAGCATGTTGAAAAGTTGTGGGGGAAGTTTCACCTTTACTTTTAAGTCAGAGAAAAAGTCCATTCTTCATACATGTTATTTTTTCCATTGCCTTTTTCTTTCATTTATTCTTGCATTTAATATTTATTAAGGCTGAATGAGGTGAAATGATGCATATGTTGTAATAGATAACTGTACACAGCTTAAGTGCAGGGGTAAAAAGAAAGAAACCATTCCACTGAGAGTTCTCAGAGCCCTTTGGGGTGGTCTTCCACTGGAGCGTAAAGTGGGGCTATTGGTCATGCCTCTAAAGAAAACCTAGAACAAAACAGCCCTTTGTTATTCTATATTAACTCTTTCCTATTCCTGGAAAGCTTAAAATGTTCAAGGATCTGAGGTCCCTGGCACAGTCTTGAAACTACTTTGGGATGATCCCTTCATCTCAGTCTCCACAGCAGAGGGACTAAGTCATCCAAAAAGCCTTCCTACTAGGCTATTCATCTAGATTCTGGAAAAATGCAACCAACATTCTTTTCAACTAGATTCCGGGTAGATTATAACAAACGTTCTTTTAAATGCTGCTCAGCTTGAAAGAAAATAAAGCAAATCCTCAAGATCATTTTAAAAAAGTTCAACGACCTTAAAACGGAATAAGTGACCCTTCAGTCAACATGGGGGTACATGCCAATATCCAAAGTGAGCGTAAGTACTTTTGGAGCACTTTCTGTGGGTCAGGCACTGTTCCAAGCATTTTAGTCATATCAATTAATTTATTCCTTATAACAATCCTATGGGAGAGGAATTATTACTAATATCCACTTCATAAAAGAGGAAACTGAAGCACACAGAAGTTAGGTAACTTGTCCATGGTCACAGAAAGAAACCCTGGGGTGAGTGGTAGAAACAAAATTTGAGCCCAGGCAGTGTAGGCTCAGAATTCTAGAGCTTTGAGGATTTATATCTCAGAGGAGTAGGAGATCATACCATGGGCTAGTATAAAACTGAGACCCCTTCATTTAACTAGAATTTTAAAAAAATTTTTATTTATTTTTTAAATTTCTTTTCAGTGTTCCAGAACTCATTGTTTATGCACCACACCTAGTGCTCCATGCAATATGTGCCCTCCATAATACCCACCACTATGCTCACCCAATCTCCCATCCCCCACCCCTCCAAAACCCTCAGATTGTTTTTCAGAGTCCATAGTCTCTCATGGTTCATCTTCCCCTCCAATTTCCCCCAATTCCCTCCTCCTCTCCATCTCCCCATATCCTCCATGTTATTTCTTATTCTCCACAAGTAAGTAAAACCATATCATAATTGACTCTCTCTGCTTGACTTATTTCACTCAGCATAATCTCTTCCATTCCCATCCATGTTGATACAAAAGTTGGGTATTCATCCTTTCTTTCTTTTTTTTTAATTTTTAAAGTTTTTAAATTTTTTTATAAACATATAATGTATTATTACTCCAGGGGTACAGGTCTGTGAATCGCCAGGTTTACACACTTTACAGCACTCACCATATCACATATCCTCCCCAGTGTCCATAACCCCACCACCTCTCCCTACCCCCCTCTCCCCATCACCCTCTGTTTTGTGACAGTAAGAGTCTCTTATGGTTTGTCTCCCTCCCGATCCCATCTTGTTTCATTTATTCTTTTCCTACTCCCCAAACCCCCCATGTTGCATTTCCACTTCCTCATATCAGGGAGATCATATGATAGTTGTCTTTCTCTGATTGACTTATTTCGCTAAGCATAATACCCTCTAGTTCCATCCACTTTGTCACAAATGGCAAGATTTCATTTCTTTTGATGGCTGCATAGTATTCCATTGTATATATATATACCACATCTTCTTTATCCATTCATCTGTTGATGGACATCTAGGTTCTTTCCATAGTTTGGCTATTGTGGACATTGCCGCTATAAACATTCGGGTACATGTGCCCCTTTGGATTACTATGTTTGTTTGTTTCTTTCTTTTTTGTGTGTGTGGGTTTTTTTTTTAATTTTTTAATTAATTAATTAATTAATTATTTTATTTCTTTTCAGCATAACAGTATTCATTGTTTTTGCACCACACCCAGTGCTCCATGCAATATAACGTGCCCTCCTTAATACCCACCACCTGGCTTTAGGGTAAATACCCAGTAGTGCAATTGCTGGGTCATAGGGTAGTTCTATTTTCAACATTTTGAGGAACCTCCATGCTGTTTTCCAGAGTGGTTGCACCAGCTTGCATTCCCACCAACAGTGTAGGAGGGTTCCCCTTTCTCCGCATCCTTGCCAGCATCTGTCATTTCCTGACTTGTTAATTTTAGCCATTCTGACTGGTGTGAGGTGGTATCTCATTGTGGTTTTGATTTGTATTTCCCTGATGCCAAGTGATGTGGAGCACTTTTTCATGTGTCTGTTGGCCATCTGGATGTCTTCTTTGCAGAAATGTCTGTTCATGTCCTCTGCCCATTTCTTGATTGGATTATTTGTTCTTTGGGTGTTGAGTTTGATAAGCTCTTTATAGATTTTGGATACTAGCCCTTTATCTGATATGTCATTTGCAAATATCTTCTCCTATTCTGTCAGTTGTCTTTTGGTTTTGTTAACTGTTTCCTTTGCTGTGCAAAAGCTTTTGATCTTGATGAAGTCCCAATAGTTCATTTTTGCCCTTGCTTCCCTTGCCTTTGGCTATGTTCCTAGGAAGAAGTTGCTGCGGCTGAGGTCGAAGAGGTTGCTGCCTGTGTTCTCCTCTAGGATTTTGATGGATTTCTGTCTCACATGGAGATCTTTCATCCATTTTGAGTTTATCTTTGTGTATGGTGTAAGAGAATGGTTGAGTTTCACTCTTCTATACATAGGTGTCCAATTTTCCCAGCACCATTTATTGAAGAGACTGTCTTTTTTTCACTGGATATTTTTTTCCTGCTTTGTCGAAGATTTGACCATAGAGTTGAGGGTCCATATCAGAGCCCTCACCATATTTCTATCAATGATTTATTCGTGATGATTTAGGTATTCTCTGAGACAATGTAGGCTTTCTCTACCATGCTCCTCATTTCCTTCTGAGCCCTCGCTGGCAGAGTCATTTGCATCCACATGTCTATTAACAGTCTGTTCGAGGGAATCTAGGATTTTTTCTGTCATACACCTCAAAGTTCTTGCAGCCTCTACTCATTACTCAATTCCAAAGCCACTTTCACATTTTTTTTTTGTGTTTGTTATAGCAGCACCCTACTCTGGGTGCCAAAGTCTGTATTTGTTTTCAATTGCTGCTATAACAAAGACTACATCCTTTGTGGTTTAAACCAATACAAGTTTATTCTTTTACTGTTTTGGCAGTCAGAAGTCTAAATGGGTCAGCAGTCTGTGTTCCTGCTGAAAGCTCTAGAGAAGAATCTGTTTCCTTGCTTTTTCTGCCTTCTAGAGTCTGTCTGCATCCTTGGCATAGACTCCATTCTCCGTCCCCCAAGCCAGCCGTATAGTATCTTGCAGTCTTTCTCTCCATTCTGTCATCATACAGCCTTTTTTTTTTTAAACTCTAACCCTACCATATCCCTCTTGTAAATATTTGTGTAACTACATTGGACCCACCCATATAACGCAGGATAATTTTCCTATCTCAAAATCCATAACATCACATTTTCAAAGTCCTTTTAAAAATTTAAATTAATATTTCCACAAGTTTTGGGAATAGGACATGGAAATCCTTGAGTGGGGAGCATTATTCAGCCTTATTCAGCATTATTCATGCCCAAAATTGGGCATGGTAAAATTCTCAGAATAGCTACTAGAAGAATATACACTGAGTATATAACTTTCAATCCTGTTAGGTGGAAACTGGAATAAGGGGGAAAAAATCAATCTAAAAGAAGGCAATAGAGAGGAAAAAAGAAACATAGAAAAAGTAGGCAAATAGAAAGCACACAATAAAATGACAGAAATAACCACATTCAGCTAAATGTTGTTTATTGGAAACATGTTTAAACTCTAAGGATGGAGACAGTTTGAAAGTAGAAAGGAAATAGAAAATAGAAGAAGCAAATTCTAACCAAAAGAAAGCCATGATAGCCATGTCTTTCATAAGCACTTCACATTAGTTCAAATGAAAGAGACCACAATACAAAAAGCATTGTTAAGGCAAAGGAGGATCACTATAATAATAAAAAGCTTCAGCTAAGTACAAAGCCATAATAATTCTAAATTTGGTATACCAGATTGCCTCAAAGTATGTAATGCACACAATGCATATTCCAAATACATATATTTGAAAATTTTACCAACATATGTCTTCAATTATTGATAAGTCAGATAAAAATTACCTACAGGAAGCTGCAGAGGAAGGCCCCAATGCTGGGGTGCCACTAAAGAACCTC